CTCCTCATACAACTTGTTCTCTATGCCCTTCACCAGCTTGGTAGCTCTTCTCTGGACATGCTTCAGCACCTCAGTGTCCTTCTTGTAGTGAGGGGCCCAGAGCTGCACACAGCACTCGAGCTGTGGCTTCACCAGTGCCGAGTTCAGGGGCACGATCACCTCCCTGCTCCTGCTGGCCATGCAGGATGTGGTGCAGGCCTGATACAAGCCAGGATGCTGTTGGCCTTGGCCACCAGGGCACACTGCTGGCTCATGTTGAGCCAGCTGTCCACCAGCACCCCCAGGTCCTTTTCTGCTGGGAAGCTCTCCAGCCACTCTTCTTCAAGCCTGTAGGATTGCGTGGGGGGTTTGTGACTGAAATGCAGGACTCAGCATTTGGCCTTATTGAACCTCATACAAATGCCTTGGCCCATCGACCCAGCCTGTCCATGTCTCTCAGCAGAGCCTCCCTGCCCTCAAGCAGATCAACACTCCACCCTAGTTTAGCGTCATCTGCAAAGTTTCTGAGGGTGCACTCAATCCCCTCAGCCAGATCATTAATTGATAAAGATACTGAAGAAGACTGGTCCCTGAGGGACACCACTGGTGACCAGCCACCAACTAGATTTGACCCCATTTACCACAACTCTCTTGGCCCAGCCATCCAGCCAATTTTTAAGCAGTTTTTATATTGGCAACCTCTTGAGAAAATACAATTTTCTGTGTTCCCTTAAAAATTGTCTGGAAAGTATCCTCCTCCTAGACTTGGAGAAGTCAGATTCCACCTGTTGCTAAAACAACATTGATCTATGGGTAGATATAATCAGAAGAGATCCGCCCACAGCAGCATGGCTTCCAGCCTGGTTTAATCTATTGTACCTCTCAGTTAGAAGCTACTGAGTCATGGAAGCGCTCCCTGAGGTTTGTGTGCTGTGGTGATGCCTTTGGAAACAGAGGAGGTAGAGCTCCAAACACCATGGCTCTTGCGGGAGGAGTTCTCTGGTGCAGAGGACCCGCATTGATGGTGAGGGAATCCTTCCTTGGCTGCTCCGATGCTTTGATAGTGGTGCTGAAACCTACATTGTGGATGAGAGAGAAGCCAAGCAGTTGGGATCCCTGGCCAGAGATGCTGGTATTGACAGAGCACTTAGTAGTAAGGTGGGAACTACCACCCTGTGGGACCGACTTCTGTCAGCTGTGAGAGAGAGATACCCTCACAAGGGTGACATTGAATGATGCCGAAGCAGAACACCCACTCTTGAGAAAGCCATCACCTAGTTGAGAGAGATAGCTGTGCGAGAGGTGATCTATGTGGTGGAGTCCCCATCCCTGGAGGGATTTCAAAGCCGTGTAGCTGTGGTGCTGAGGGACATGGTTTAGTGGTGGCCTTGGCAGTGCTGGGTTAACAGTTAGACTTGAGGATCTTAAAGGTCTTTTCTAACCAGAATGATTCTGTGGTTCTATATTAGAGTTTTGCTTTATTTTAGCTAAAAGCTCTTCAAAAAGAAACACACATCTAATTGACAATTTGACTCTGTGATCTTAGAGGTCTTTTCCAATCATGATGATTCTGTAGTTAGTGCTCTGAAAGCAACAAATAGGTTCGGGCTACACAAAGATATAAGAAGGGAAATTTCCTCTTGCATGACATAGAGAAGACCCTGTCTTTATTCTTAGGACAAGTCCAAATCTTTCTGTGTCGTGCTTGGAGCAGAAGAACACCTACAGATGCAAGTCCTGAGGCTGCAGATGCATGAAAGGAGGTAAACTACCTTCAACTTGATCTTCTCCCCTTCTGCATAGCTCTAGGACTGGGTGGAAATCTCCACAGACCAGTTTGGTTCACTAAACCAGCAGGAAAATCCATCAACCAACCAACCCACCCACAGCTAGTTTCTGTTTGGGTTAGTGAGCTGAATTAGCTTAGAGAAGGCACTGATGAGCCTTCCAACTCAATTGAGAAGGACAAACCAATTTGGACAAAAGCAGAAGTAGGTGTAAGAGGCACACATGCATCCAGATTTCCTTTAGGTCCCTTTCGGAGTGGCATAGCTGCCTGTGAAATCATGAAATAACTCATCTGGTTTATTTTAAGAGTAAAACTAAAGGTTCAGACAAAACATTGTTTCAGTTAAGGAAGCTTAAAATACAGATTGAGTGTTCCTACAGCCACCAACTCTTTACATGATACCTTGTCACTGAAGACAAAAAGACCAAATTAGCTGAGTCCTCTTTCACACAAGTTAAATGAATGTGTTTTGTGTCACATTTCAAGGAATCTGGACTGTCAATGCAGCTCAGCTGTATGGGGACCTTTTAAGCTACTGTAACTCCACTGTCTGTTGTTCAGTGTGTGCTGACTTTGATACTGTTCACATACTCATTCCTTTCTTCCTGTTGCTTTTTGTAAACGATGCTGCAATCTAGTCCTTTTCCATCTGCATTACTCACACTGATTTTCTTTCCACTCAGCAGGCTTTTACTCAATCCCAAGACAGCTCTGGCATTGCTGGCAGCTAGATTAGTAAGCACCAGCCCAATAATTCAGGTAAACTTTAAGTGACAATGTTGCAACTGTCTAGTTCTATCAGAAATCATATTTTGAGGGACAGCTTGAAACACGCAACACAAATACTGATGGTCATATCTCACTATTAACACATTAATCAATAGTGCCGTGAGCCTGTGAAGTACAAGTAATTACTCACATTGCAGAACCCAAAAAAAGCCTACAATCTCAGCCAATAGACCATGCACTGAAGTTCCTCATCTACATGTTTCTTTAATACATCCAAGGATGGTGACTGCACCACGTCCCTGGGCAGGCTGTTCCAGTGCCTGGTCACTCTTTCAGCAAAGAAATTCTTCCTAATATCCAATCTAAACCTCCCCTGCCGCAACTTCAGACCGTTTCCTCTAGTCCTGTCATTATTTACTTGGGAGAAGAGGCCAACACTCACCTCCCTACAACCTCCTTTCAGGCAGTTGTAGAGGGCAATGAGGTCTCCCCTCAGCCTCCTTTTCTCCAAACTAAACATCCCTAGTTTTCTAAGCTGCTCCTCATACAACTTGTTCTCTATGCCCTTCACCAGCTTGGTAGCTCTTCTCTGCACATGAGGATGCTGCCCCACAGTACGAGTAACCAAACTACTCTCTAACCATGGTAGTTTTAGGACTGTCCAATTTTAATCTTATTCCATATTTCAGTTAAAACTTTTTTCTTTTTTTTTTTAAAAAAAGACTGTTTTCTTCCTTCCCCTTCTGAAACCACAATGCCATTTATCCTTTTTAAAAGGATATCTATGGTTTAATCTGGAAACTTTATACCTAAATGGGTCGTCTTGGCCCATTTCCTCTAATTTAATACTCTAAACCCCTCCAAATAGGTTCACCCCAGCTTACACTCAGTAAAAAAATTATTCAGCTATATTTACCTGCATTCTTGATTACCATATTTACTGCACATATACTGGAATAAATTGAAAAAGCTGCTCCTTCTCCCACGGAGGGTGGCAACTGATTAACAGGGCATATCAATGTGCTATGATGATTCCAGAAAGCAAAGAAATAATGCAACATCCAACTAAAACTGCCCAGGGGCAAAACACAACTGAAATCTCGCTAAAGCATAGAAAATGACAACTACATAATTCACAGTTAGGAAATTTTTTAGAGCTCTGATTCAAAGTTAAAGTTGACAGACTGTCCTTGTGTTCACATAAAGCACAGAGGAGCCCTAAGATCACCCTGCAAACTCTGAATTACCGATATAATAAAGATGCACATGGCAGTGTGGCCTTACCTCCAAAGTTCTTTCCTGCTGTCAACTAGATCTTTACAATTTCAAGTAGTGATTTTAATACCGAAATCCAACATATTTCCAGCTAAAAGAAAGAAGAGGACGTGGCTCAGGGGACTGGCAACGATGTAAGAATCAAATAGTTTTGAATAGAAAACTAAGCAACCAGAGATAGAAAATAACTAATTAAGCAAGAGGTCTTTTAGAAATGCATTGGTAGTTTAGTTTCCGAAACAAAACCTCTCACAGTTGTTTCTTTTTGCTGTGACCCCCTGTGACTGCACTGCCACTTGCACTGTGAATGTCCATGCACTAGATTAATAACCTTCATCCTTGAAATAATCCATCTGGGAAAATTTTACTGCATTCACAGCAGCCCAGTTTCTTGCTAACTATCCTGCAGGCAGGATTTCTCTTTTCAACTCAGTATGACAGACGGTACAATCAGAAATCAAGAGGTCAAAAGACTGAAAGAACCTGAATGCCAGTGGACAAGCATTTGGTTGTGTCTATAAAAGACATATGGGGAACAGTGATAAAGGACTGGCCAGTAAGACAGATGGATGACAGCACAGCACAGGTCAAGCCCTCCCTTTCAGCCTGACAAGCTTCAAACTTATTTGCTTATTTGTTGAAGAAACAGCATGGATACCAATTACTTTGAAGATCCATGACAGAAGTTATTTAAAAGAACAAACTCTCAAGGATGACATTAAGACAACTTTGATTTGCAGTGGGATTCAACATAAAGGAACGGTTGCTTGGACCAACACATCCAATTCTAATGTTAGATTAGGTGCCCTAGTTTTCTACATTTGCTATATACTACGTTAATGGCATACTCATCCCCCTTCCCCAAATCTAGAGCAGTACTAAACTCTCCTGCACAGCTCAGGTATGCTTCTAACACGTCCAGATGTATGGAGCTCTCTCTCTTAACACTAAGGCTTATTTTCTAAGAACTGTGTGATTCTCCTTCTCTTTCAGTGACATAAAAGTAGAACTAGAAATACACATCAGCCAGACTTCAGTGAATTAAAAAGAATGAAAAACTACTGATCCCTGGTTTAGATGCCTAGCAAATACCAAACCAACGGAGCTCCCCAATTTGGCCAACTGCTCATAATAGTTGTAATAATTTCTCTGCTCTTTTTAGACAAATTAACAGAAAAAACCCACCAAACAACTCTTTATTTTGGTGGGGTTTTAAGCTTGTACTTACACTACTGGAAAAGTTCTCAGCATACTTTACATGGGGATGGGACGTTATAAAGCTTCTTGAGGGTCTTCAGTGTTATTCACCATTCTGTAAGACACAATTAAAATATACAAAGAGGTTACAGATTGCTGTGAAAGGCAAATACATCGTGACTTCTTGTTTTCTGGCATACAATTACACAACCAGCTTACAGAGGGCAACTTTATGGCAGTTTCACCAGACAGTAGCACCAGATCACTTCTCATTTAAGAAAACAAACAACAGAACAAAAAAACAAAGACAGGTGCCTTCAGGATCCTTCTCAATCACCCAATCCAATCCATCCCTCTGATAAAAGGCAGTAGAACGCACAGCAATCACCACATTTAACCATGGTTTAGAAAAATGCTCCTTGGAACCACTGGATTTTCTTAAGATTTTTATTTATTTATTTATTTTTAATGGATCATTAAAACATCACCCTCATTCTTCCCTTTGTCCTAAATGGGAGCTTTGATATAGTCTGCAATGGACCCATGGTCCTGAAGGCTGGTAAATAATCTTGTACATTCAAACAGCCTATGAATTATAAATACTCAAGTTATAAATGGATGCTTCACAGATCTAAACAAGCTGAGTATTCTAAGTTTGTGCAAACCCAGAGGTTAAAAATTGGAAATGTTCTGTCACATTATTCTGGATAATCTGTAAGCAATCCAGACCCTTATATGATCACAGACATATACTTCAATGCACATGGTAGATTCCTAGGAAGGAAGTTGATGTCTGGTAGTGCAATCAGTCTAGAGACAAAAATTTAAATTACAATTGATTTCTTTTGGCCACAAGTAAATTAATCTATGCAATCATTTAGCCTTATGACAGTTACCTACCCTTTTAACTCACAAAAGCTATTAAAAGGATTATTTGGCTAACATCCGCAAAGAGCTTAGAAGACAGGTACTATGTTCTGAAAAGGAATGACCTAATAGAATTTTCTTTAGCTATCACTGCTTATGTCTTTCTCCACAAAATAACATGGACTGAAAGTGCTTCAGAAGTTGAACTATTAACGAAAGGGAAA